TATACACCCACCTTCTGCTGAGGGCTAAAGTTTTGTCCACATCCATGGTATTTCTTGTACATGGAAAGCACTGAGTCTCCTGTTCTTTGGATTATGACTTTTCATATAGAACTGTGAGAACCCTGCTTTAAGCAGGAGGTTATACCTGTTCTGGAAGTTAAGTACGGCACTATTACAGCCTTTCATTGTCTCCCATGTACTGGCCCCCTAGCCTTGAAAAATCATATCTGATCAAGTCACAATCCAACTTTAAAACCCTGAGGACTTCACGTTACCTGCAGGACAAGTTCCAGTCTCTGCCAAGTAATCCCTATCCTCCGTCGACCTTCCATCCTCATTGTCCTCCATCCTCTTCCAAACCCCTTTCATGACAGCCAGTTAAAATTACTTGCGTATTCCAAACCAACCATACAGTTTTTAATTCCTCTGAATCATTTTTTTGTGTCTCCCTGAAATGTCTATTCTACCATTACTCACTCACTTGAATTGCTTAATTTTACCCCCTATTAATCCTTCCCTGATTTCAGCTCGTGCTATAAAATCCAGCTCAGGAATCACTTTCTTTACAAAGTGTTCACAGAATATGGTGCCCCCCCACCCCCACTCTTCCCCACCTTCTGTGATAGCACCCAACAATGCCTTCTAAATGTTGTTTCCTTGGATCCTTGATAACTGTGCTCTTTGAGAGTAGGGACCATGTCTTTGTGTCTCAAGCACAGAGCCTAGAATAATATATCTCAGTTGAATGAAACAACCCTCTTAATAAATGTCTGCATACCTCACAAACCATCTTTTTCTGTACAGTTATTTCAACTTATAGCCTTTATTTTATCATAAAAAATAGTTCTCTAGCTCTCAAAGACTGAAGACCACTTGGGAGTTATTTTTGCATAATGTGCTTCGATATTCAACTTTAAGGTTATGAATTTCAATGTGATAATAATTATTAACACCCTTTAATTGAATTCAAACCCCATACCAAGGATGTTACACATTTGAAATTTGTAGAAAATTTTTAAGATAATATTTGACTATACTTTAAATCATAAGTGAAGGAAATGTGTTCCTAGAAGGCTCTGTCCCTGGCATTGCTTTTGACATAAGGAGACTGTGTCTTGGTCTATCTGCTTACGCCATGATGCTTTCTTTTCTTGAGTTCTTAACTCATGTTTCATGATCTTGGAATACCTCCTCCCGTGTCTCACTAATTCTGTTGCATAAACTTCATTCTGTCTCGTGCTATGCTGATACCACGGTATCCTGTGTAAACACAAAGCGATTTTTTGTACAGTATAGTCAGGAAATGAGTGAAAAACAAATTTAATCCTCTCACCCATCTGCCTAAAGCCCCTCACTGCCTTACATTGCCCTCAGGATAAATTTCCCCATTTCTTGCCACTCCCCATTGCAGTCCAGGCAGCCCCGTGTTGTCTCTTGCCTTTAAGGCATGCCGGTGCTCTTCCCTCTCCGTGGAATACCTGGTCCTCAGACTTATCCTCACTTGCAGTGCATGCATAGATCCGTGTGGTTTTTAGGTTAGCCTTCAGCTCTCCTGCCAAACTGTACACTCCGTTTAGGGCAAGCATTACATTCAACTTACTGTGGAATGACATGTCACAGACACTCCATAAATACTCTTGCATGAATAAATAAAAAGAACGTATCTTACCCCACTAGGTGTCCCCAGCATCTAACACAGTGCCTGGTACGTAATAAAGCACTCAATATTTATGAATGAGTAAATGTTAGTGATGATTTCTAAAATCATAAAAAATGGCTCTTGCTTTCTTTTCTATTTGAGTATGGCCCTTTTTACTGTTGTGGTTTTCACATGAACTTCCTTACTTGAACCTCTTGCACTGCAGAAAAAAAGTGCTTCTGTAAAGTACCACCTCACTGTTCCTTTTTCTATTTTGAACCCTGATTTGAATAAAACCAGTAATGCAGTTAAGTTACCATGTTGTGCTATTTGAAGTAAACAAACAAAGAAGAAACTGCTCCCAGGCTACCAATTTTAAAATAGTGGCATATGAAACACTTATTTCTTGCTATCCAAACAGGAATATTATTATAGCAATGTTCTTTTTTTAAATTATGGGGAAGATGTGTTAGTTATTGTTATGTGTGCAAAATAATTTCGTATATATATGCAGAAGCACACATTCAGTGAAACGATGAGAGCTGAAAAGTACTTAGGGCAGACGGGGAACAGCGGTGGATTTGGGGAGGACAGGCAGGGGGCTGTTGAAGAATCCAGAATTCAGGTATTAGTGCTTTAAAATACTGGAACGGAGTTTGAATGAAACCAGTTGCATGGCAGCTGATAGTAAATCCTTGCAGAGCTCAGTCATATGATGGGAGTGCCACAGTAGAAGGTGTTTATGTTACCCTCTGATGAAACATTAGCCTACAGCTGAGAAATAAGAAAAAAACATTTGTCTAGTATAATAACAGATAAGTGATCATACTGACTTTTCAAAATCACGGCTCACTACAAGGGACCTTAAAGCCTCCACATTTTCCAAATATGAGAGCTCAGTTCCAGAGAGGTTAAATAAACTGCCAAGGTCGTTGGGCTTGTTCATTGCTGAGTCAGGATTAAAATCTCGATTTTCTGATTTTCACTGAAATGGCTTTTCATTGTCATTGTAAGATTGCCACAATGCGTTGGATTCTATAAAGGTAGATGAAGCTTGCATGGGTACTGTAGAAAGCTATTTGAGACACTAAAAAGTTTTCTTAGGGGAAGCAAAGATCTATGTCACTATGCGGGCATTGGCTCAGTGTTGCATGCTGCCACACCTTTTATTTTGTGAGATAAGTGGGAATAAGAAAATAAGATGGCACAGAAACAGATGGTCTGTCCCCAGCTCCTACACCTGGAATAACTTTCCCTTTGACCCCAGCCCTACAAAAGAAGAGCAACCAAAGTTGCCAGCCCGGAAGGTAGACGTCCTGCCTGCTATAACCAGTTTTTCAGACAATTCTTTCCCTGTGCAGCTTCCATCAATCTCTCCTACCCCCCTACCCCCATACACACACCCATTGCTAAGGGTGCTACCTCCAATTTCCGATTCCCTAAAAGTCGAGAGGGGAAAAGATGAAATTTCAATATTTTAGAAATGAAACTATTCCTAAGTCATTGTAGACTATGAGAAGTGATTCCCCACCTTCATGATTTTTTTTTTTAAACATCCATCTAAGCAAGTGCCACCAGATAGGAAACTGAAGTAGGATATAATTCTTTGAAAGGTAAATGCAGACATCCATTTTTGCAGGGATTATATATATTCATGTCTGGAAAACCCAAAAGAATGAACTGAAAAACTTTTTTGAAGTTTTAGAAATGCATTAAGAAGGGTTTCTCACCATATTAGTATGCTAATGACCTACTTTCCCAAGAGAGGTCTGGAATGTGAGGGGTTTCCCCAAATTGTCTGACCTGCAGTAGAATTCATTTGGGAAACTGTGTCTGGTGATTCTGCCTACATGAGAAGGGTCTGTCTGGCCATTTAAAGGCAAATGACCTAGCGGATTTATTTCCACATGGCACATACTACACATATCAACGTATGTGTGTTGATGCCAAAGAAGCTAAAATAATTTCGTGTCAAAATATTTATGGGCTTGATCAAAGCTGTTAGAGTATGTTAAAAAACCACACACACACACAGCTACCACATGTTTCTTATATTTTCAGATTCTATCTATCTTCTGATGATATGAATGACAACCATCATCTTCTATTCAAGCAGTTTACATGTTTCACATAATGTGTTGCTGGGTTTCATAAATAAAATTCATGTGTGGTTTTTTTTTTTAATTAAGCGACACCATACTGTTGCTTTCAGTCAGATTGGTAGCTATATCTTCCTAGCATTGCTTGAGGTTATCAACCAATCTGTAAGTTTGCTAGTTAACAAATCTAAACTAGACTGAGCCAATCTCTTTCTGATCGGGCATGCTTTATGTCATTCAGTACATGTATATTGTCTCCTTGAGTCCCCTTTAAGTGTAATATGCTGCAGCGATTGGGGCTCTAACACTTGAAATGTTTTAAGAAGAGGTATTTCTGGGGGCACCTGGGTGGCTCAGTTGGTTAAGCGACTGCCTTCAGCTCGGGTCATGATTCCAGGGTCCTGGGATCGAGCCCCGCATCGGGCTCCCTGCTCAGCGGGAAGCCTGCTTCTCCTCTCCCACTTCCCCTGCTTGTGTTCCCTCTCTCGCTGTGTCTCTCTCTGTCAAATAAATAAATAAAATCTTTAAAAAAAAAAAAAAAGAAGAGGTATTTCTGTGTCTGGCAGTAGCTTTTTGTCAAAAATGTTTCTAGGTGATCAGTTTAAAGTTAACATCTCGGTAAGCACTGCTGCCCTCTGGCATGGCAACTCTGTGAATAATTCCTTGACACTCTCATAGCTACTAAGCACTCACCACTGGGCTCAGCTTAGCACACATCCTTATTTGAGTGTATTCTACATAGCCCATTCAGATTCTGTAAACCTGCATGCATACCATTAATGCTGCATCCTCAGAATGCCCTCGAAGAAACCTGGGTGTTTGCTTAAAATGCTTTTTAATGAACATAACTTTCTAAATTTTGACACCTACATAGAAGGAAGATCTGTTGATCGTTCTCTCGCTATGGAAAGTTCTGATGTTGAGGACACTATAATAAAAGAAAGAATATATTTGCCTGCTAATCTTCAACTGTCAGTCTTCCCCTTTATTTATAAAATCTAAATGTTTAGAGTTTGTGAAGAGGAATGAAAGGTCATCTCCACTGTGTATGAGAAAGAAAAGGAAAAGAGAACATTTGGGAAGGGTAGCAAGCCAGTGGGGGCTGAGAATAGAACAGTGATGATTCCTTCTCCTGGTGAACTATGGAAGCATGGCTTCCTTTTCTGTAGTTGCTTTGGAAATGGCAACAACCGTGCTCTGTGTGTGTGTGTATTGACAGTTAAAATAACTCAGTAAAATGATCTGTTTCCTCCCTATCCAAGGATTTCCTGCTACAGATATTTACTGTGTTCCGAATATTGATACGCCCAGAGATGTTTCCGAAGGACTGGACTGTTATGCGCTTGGTGGCTAACAAGTAAGACATTTAAGTTGACAATGATTGCAGCTTAGTATATGGATGAGAGGAGATACAAAAATGATTTTTCTAGTTTGATCTCAAGTTTGAAATCTTCAAATCCTGGGATTCTTTTTCTTTGTCTCTGAATTAACTTCTCTCATTTAAAAAAAAATACATATTACTATTTGTTTTAAACAGGTGATACATTTAACATAGTTCAAAAATCAAATAATATAAGAAGAGTGTACATTGAAAAAACCCCTTCCCATCTACTGTATTTATCCCTTACCCCCCAGCCTGTAGTTACCACTTTTATTAGCATCTTGCGTGACCTTCCAGTGTTCTTTTACACAGAGCCTGGCAGGTAGCATAATATATACACTATTTTGCACTTTGCTCTTTCAGTTAAAAATCCTGGCAGTCTTGGGCGCCTGGGTGGCTCAGTTGGTTAAGCGACTGCCTTCGGCTCAGGTCATGATCCTGGAGTCCCGGGATCGAGTCCCGCATCGGGCTCCCTGCTCGGCAGGGAGTCTGCTTCTCCCTCTGACCCTCCTCTCTCTCATGCTCTCTGTCTCTCATTCTCTCTGTCTCAAAAAAAAAAAAAAAAAAATCCTGGCAGTCTTTCCACATTAATACATAGAAAGCCCCTCATTCATTTATGTTTCTTTTGCTCTTTTATGGGCATATAATGTTCTATTGAATTGGTGTACCATCATTTATTTAACCAGCCCTGTTGCTAGACACTTAAGTCATTTCTAATCTTTCTTAATTCATTTTAACTCAGCAGGATACATTAAGCATCTACCATGTGCTCAGCACTGGGGATAAGATATGACCCCTGAGTTGGATACATGAAGATTGAAGTTCCTTTTATACAGCCAAGGGATATGGCCAGTAGAGAGCTGAAAATAATGCTCTCAGCAAAATTTGGAACTAGAGAAGACATTTGGAGAGATATTGACATAAAGTTGAATCTCTGGAAGTTGGCAAAACTAGCTTGTATTAGGCATATCCAGGAAAAAAAAATAAAAGATCTTAGCCAGTACTTGAAGGAGTAGGAGCCAGGAAAGGAGATTAGGCAGCTGCCAGAATGGCAGGAGCCGTCCCAGAGAGTAAGTATCATGGCAGTGTCTGCTCTCATGCTTCCTGTCTCTGTCATCTCAGGATACAGAATGCAGGTGAAGTTCTTGAGGAAACTGGCTGATGTTTACTTCCACACTCATAATTTACCCTGTCTCATAAACATTCTTTCCTTCAAGTCTACATTTGCCTGCTTCTCCTTCCTCCTTTTGTCCAGCCCCAAACACCCTCATATTCAGGATAAAGGTTGAATTCTCCAGGTATCTATCCATAGACCAAAGACACCATATGTCCTCCCCAGATGCCAGGTATGGTGGTGGTAAGAGCCCCAGGAATATAGGGTTGGATTTTGATAAGATATGCCTAATATGGCTTCTGCTGCAGTATACATTTATAGATGTGGAGGTGTTAAAACGATGTGTTAAAACTTGTGAAGTAACAAATAGTATAATATGGCATATTATATTTTACATAAGTACAGAAGCAGCTTTTCCATGTTCAAGACTAATTGAAACTCCTGAAATAGCTCTCTTTAGAATTTAGCATATTTAGTTTGATATCTGTGAGTAGAATCAAATATCTTTTCATCTGGATGTCCGGATGCTATAGATTTAAAGGGAGCAATTGGTCATGAATCTGGCGTTATTACCAAAGATCTAACATTCTGCAGAGGACTATGAAGTGGTCCAGGGAGCCAGCCGGGAAGAGGTCCAGGCTGCTGACATCTGCATCACACAACGTCATCATGTGGTCATTATGCCTGCCCTGTGTGCGGAGGGATATTTTGACTTGAATTAGAATATTCAATGGCAAAAATTCAAACCAAAAATAAGTTTGACATTTTGTTCCTTATGCACACAGGCTCTGCTTGAGCTTCTTGAAAACCGTGACCACAATGTGGCTTTTTAAAATTAAACACCATCTCTCTACGTAAAAATCTCCACTCCATTTATGAAGACTCATGGTCACACAAATGGGTAACAGACTTAGAAGTATAGATTCTGCTTTTGAGTAAACACATGATGTTCAAGATTTTCATCTACAGTGTTAACCAAACAGGAGCATGGGTTAGTTTAAGATGAGTTCTGTGTAATACATTTAAACAGAAGATACTCCCAAAGCAAATCCAAGAAAAAGGCCATCAGCCTTTGCTAAATGCAGTACCATCACGCTCTTGCCACTCAAGTCAGTGCTGATAAGAAATGGGCACTGTTTTTCCACTGGCAATTGCAAGTCCGTCCCAATTTGGAGAGAGGACTCCAGGGTCTGGTAGAGAACACCCCAAGTTGGAACAGACACTGCCCTCTGCTCTTCTGCTTCCCGCTCTTCTCCCCATGCAACCACCGTAGCCATTTCCCATTCAAATTATGAAACCAAATGAGATTTTTCTTGCCTTATGAATGCAATATATTCCAGAAATAAGCCTTCAACTATTTCTTCTCTATCCATAAAAAAGATTAGCCACTATAATATTGGTAGAAAAGTCCATTTCTGAAAGATGTTAAACACATTTGAAATATGTTAAAGGGCAGGGGCGCCCAGGTAGCTCCGTCGGTTGAGCATTCAAGTCTTGACTTTGGCTTAGGTTGTGGTCTTGGGTTCGTGGGTTCAAGCCCTGCCTCGCTCCGCTCCGTGCTCAGCAGGGAGTCTGCTTCCCTCTCTCCCTCCCCCTTTGCCCCTCCCCCTGCTCGTACTTGTGTGTGCTCTCGCGTGCTCTCTCTCAAATAAATAAATAAATAAAATCTTTTTAAAAAATGTTAGCATACATTGGGAAGAAAACATGACCACTTTGCTAAACTATGTAGATGCAAGTTGCAGGAGCTAGATCCACGTCTCTGAAGTTGACCACCTTTCTTCCATGTTGCCAGCTTTCTTAGACAAATATTTGATCAGGGCCCCTCAAAGAGGCATTTTTACCCAGACTCCCACTTTTACTACCTACTATGTGCCTAATACATGTCAACTTGATAGTAACTAGCTGAGAAGTCACCACTGCCCTACCTTTGAGCTCAGCTGTATTCAGCTCATCCCTCAAAATATGTATTCTTTGATGTGTTGGTCCTTTCTTCCTGTGTTTTCAAGTGAGTTAAATGCCTTTAACTTTCATCTATAAATTATGTTGTCCCAAATCCTGTAGCTTCCTTGCTTTATATGAAGTCCTACTAAAAGCTGTGACCAGACACTTGGTGATTAGTATGGTCTTGTGTTTATTTCCACCTGAATGTCTAATATCGGGTGACACGGTAAGGGCATCCAGCTTAACTTGCGCAAGGATGAGACATGTGTCTCTTGCTTGTGTGCAAAGTTGTATTGTCCCCACTGTTAAGTTCTTGGTAGATGTTTCTGATGAGAACAACTGCTCAATTTGAGAAAGAAGGAACATAAGGGAGATGAAAATTAAGTACCAAAAATACAGGACACTTTGAGACAAGCTTCTCTCCACCCCCTTCCCATACACATTGCAAAATATAGTACAAAAATAAAGTCACAGCTTTATACATTTTCAAAGAGATAAATCTTGTAACAGACTTGCTTACTGAGGGAAGTAAAACCTTCTGGCCTTACAGTTGACATTTCAGGCCCTTATTTTGTTTATCTTGTGTGCATGTTGGCTTCAAACATAGCATACATTTTTTTATGTGTGCTTTTTCTCACCAAACACTGAATTATTTAGTTGACTAGTACCTTCAAGTAATTTAGTTTTCAAATGAGATCAGTGTAGCAAATAGGTGATTTATGGAACCAAAGATTCTTAGGGAAGGTCATTCATTCATTTACTGACCCATCCACTCAGCAAATCTTTTTCAATACCTAAAGTATAAAATAAATGCCATAAAGATAGAGCAAAGATAGTTCTTTGAAAATGTTTATGAAAGGAACTTTGTTCTGAACTGGGATTGGAAGGCTCTTTCATTAGGAGGTGAAACTTGAGCTGAAAGCCAAAGCAGGAGTTAACAGGCAGACAGCAAAGGAAGAAGAATGTTCTTATCAGCAGAAATAGCTTATACAAAGGCCCTGTGGTCAGAGTGAATATGGCACATTCAAGAAACTGAAAGACTATTAGTGTGGCTGGAACATGAGGAGAGAAGGAGCCAGTAACAATGAGGTTAGAAGAGGAAGACAGGGCCCAAATATTAGGGCGTAGAGAAACATTAAGAGAAACCAAGAAGGGGGCACCTGTGTGGCTCAGTTGGTTAAGTGTCTGCCTTCAGCTCAGGTCATGATCTCAGGGTCCTGGTATCGAGCATCACGTGGGCTCCCTGCTCAGTTGGGAGTCTGCTTCTCCCTCTGCCCCTTCTCCCCCTCCACTTGTGCACACGCTCTCTCTCTCTCTCTCAAATAAATAAATATTTTTTAAAAAAAGAGAGAAACCAAGAAGGACCAGTTAGAAGCTTAATACAGCAATCCAGCTAATGGCTCGAACAAGTAGATGGCAGTGAAGGTAGTAAGAAGATCGATTTTGAAGATTGAGATAACATAACTTGCAGATGACTGGATGTGGGTGGCAGAGAAAAAATGGAAGATGGCCTTTAGAATTTTGGCCTGAACAGAAGGATGAATGGTGGTGCCATTCACTTTGGTGGGGAAATACTGAGAGGAGCAGCTTTGGGGGTGGGGAAGGTGAAGAATCTTATGTGAAACAGAAATTTGAAATACTCTTCGATATCTTAGTGGAAACACAGAAGAGGAAGCTACCCCTGCTTCTGTGGAGCTGAGGGAAGAGGTTAGGGCTGGAGGTGTGCATTTGAGGGTCATTGGATGATATGGATGATATTTGAAGCACTGAATGAGAGCACCTGGAAGAGAGTAGATTAAAAAGAAAAAAGTACTCAGCACCGGGCTATAGAGCATGCTGCCATTTTAAAGCCCAGAACATGGAGAAGCATCCAGCAAAAGAGACTGAAAAGGAGCAGCCCATGATTTAAGATGAGAATCAG